CTCTGGGGTAATTCATAGAAGTTTATTGTTTAAACCGTGCATAATAATTTCCTAATTTACATAAATTAGCCAATTGTTCTGCAGATCCCAAGTACTAGTGCTACTACAGTAAAATCTGTATTAGAAGCGCATCCCTAATAAAAGTCGCACCCATTCTTTTTTAACAATTGAGAACCAAACATTCACAATTTCTCATATGTGTAGATGCTCTAATAGAAGCCACATCCCCTCTGTTGCATTGTACCATTTTAATAGAAGCCGCTGTTTCTAATACAGATTTTACAGTAGTCTGATTTCAATGAAACTTGATACATAATACTTTGCTAATTTACATAAATTTTTATTAACATTGCTGGGCTGTGGAGGATGAGGAGTGGTACAGGTAAATAAAGTAATGACACAAGTGACTTGATTGCCAGTGAAAGGAAGGGGAATCACACCCCGCACGTGCAGGTGTCATAGCGGTCCCTCCCCTGATGCACCTCTATCGTTTGAGTTACATCATGACATGGACAACGTAGTATCTGAGTGTGAGGGGTCACTACGGCAACCCTGGCAGTGGACGTCGTAAGTGCTGTTGCCAGGGTACCAGTCTCAACATTGACTAGCACTGTGACAAGGACACCGTGGTACCCAAGCAAGGTTGTGCATGCTGCAGTGATAGCCCCCTTGTATTGCATTAGATAATGCGGCTAATTTCAATCATGTCTTCATTTCATGATTGAATTCAGGATGGTCAAATGGTGGCTATTTTGAAGTTAAGAATAATGATAAATGACATAAACTGGCCAAATTGCTTAAATCTGCAATCAGTTTACGCTGCTTGTTCCGGCTTCGGAAGGCGTTCTGCATATTATTTTATTGCGACCTATTTTAAGCTAGTTAAAACAAAAATTTTACTATTGTCATTAAAAATGTACATCATAATTTCTGCTGTTTCCAAAGACTGTATCATGTATGATATTAATATTTCACTCAAATTAAATACATGTATATAAGTTCCGTGTATAAACACTTGTGTAAAGAGGCGTTCAGAGCGCTATTTTAGCCAAAATCGTCTAGTAAGACATCATATATGATACAGGTCGGTGATGTGGACAGCGCTTCCTGTGACGACACAACATGAATCAAAAGCCCAATCTCTGCTATGCCAGAACCAGATCAAGTCACTTATACATCATGTGAAATTTGAATTCAAAATGGCTGACTACTTGGTTTAAGTTTTGTTTACTATTGCACCACCGGAGCTGTGTTGTGTCAATAAGTTGTTTAAAAAAAATGGATCTTGTCCATCTCCCCTTTATGTTCTCGTATAGCAATGCAACCAAATACAGACAGGAACTCTGTCATTGACAACGTTCATCATTTTCCAATATCAAATTTATTTTGTCTATACTACGGTGTTATTTTGATTAACCTTGTAATAACCTTTGTAATAAAGCATGTAATAATTATAGATACTGGCATATTCATGATTAAAAATAATGAAGTTATTAGGTTTTATTGGCGTGAAAATGAGCACTTACTCAAATGTTGTCATGGTAACACATGTTTCTAATGTTCATAATGTCATGATATGCTGAGGAATGAATTTATATAAATTAGTAATGTGATAATTTTTGATAACCCTCAGAACATGTCAATTTATTCAACCTACGTTATGATGCATTCTTTGATTTTGTTAAACTGACATAATTTTCTCATTCGCAATCAATTATTGTCATGTTTGAAAATGTTGTCTGATTGTCTGATTTTTGTTGTGTGTATTTTTGTGTCAAGCGACATTTCCAGATATTGAAAATCAATATGGGAAAATCAATGTTTATCATCACAAATGTTGCATCTGTGCAATGCGCCGACCACCACCCTTTAATAATATATATATATATATATATATATATATATATATATATATATATATATATATATATATATATACTCTGGGATAATGTTGCATCTGTGCAACGCGCCGACCACCACCCTTTAATAACACATATATGTATATATATATATATATATATACTCTGGGATAATGTTGCATCTGTACAATTCGCCGACCACCACCCTTTAATAACACATATATATATACCGGTACATATATACTCTGGGATAATGTTGCATCTGTGCAATGCGCCGACCACCACCCTTTAATAACATATATATACATACATGTATATATATATATATATATATATATATATATATATATATATATATATATATATATATATACTCTGGGATAATGTGCCCTACTGCAAAGTTTTAGGTTGATATCTGTTATTTCAATTGTCTAATTCACACAATGTTATTTTTAGCTTTACCACATCATGGAGATACATGTATTATACCTCCATGACCACAGATATCGCTATAATCAGATTTCAATGAAACTTCATACATAGGTGCTGTGAATAACATCACAGAAATACAGACACAGTTAGGTCTTTTTATAACAATACAATACGCACCATATATACCATTTATTTTCTAAAACGACTCCACTAAATACAGCGATAAAAAATGTTTGACTGGTACAGGAACGCCGTATAACAGGACTTGAACTGGACTCAAGCAGAAGTACAAATACTGATTGGTCAATGCCGACCATGTGTGGACGTAGATTGAACCTAATTAACATAATTTGTGCATTACACTTGGATATCGGCGATATCATTTTAACATCAAATATAAACTATAATAAATCTGTGACTAACAATAATGTTAATTTTTGCTACAGATGCTGTGAGGGGAGGGAGGGTGGGTTGAACAAAAGTCATTCGTTTGGGGGTTGAAATTATGCATATTAATTACTTAATTTGCATTAATTCACAAATACCTCAAGCACCATCATTAGATTTCAATAAAACTTTATATGTAGATGCTCTGAGTTAATCCACAGACACGATTAATTTATGGTTGGAATCCATGCACATTAATTACCTAATTTGCATTAATTAACAAATACCTCAAGTACCATCATTAGATTTCAATAAAACTTCATACATAGATGCTCTGAGTTAATCCACAGACACGATTAATTTATGGTTGAAAGCCCTGCATATTAATTACCTAATTTGCATTAATTAACAAATACCTCAAGTACCATCATTAGATTTCAATAAAACTTCATACATAGATGCTCTGAGTTAATCCACAGACACGATTAATTTATGGTTGAAAGCCATGCATATTAATTATTTAATTTGCATTAATTCACAAATACCTCAAGTACCATCATTAGATTTCAATAAAACTTCATACGTAGATGCTCTGAGTTAATCCACAGACACGATTAATTTATGGTTGAAATCCATGCATATTAATTACCTAATTTGCATTCAATTTTTCTAATATCTCAAAAAACTTACACATAGGTGCTCAGCAAATCAGCAATGTATGCAATTAACCTTTATATCACCACCACTTCCCTTTTTTTTTGGCCACACCGACTTAATTTTATGGATGACATCTGTGCGCGCATTAGTTTTCACCAATTCACAAAAAAAAATCTTCAACGATGAGTCTCCACAGTTCGATTTTCTGTCCGGAACTTGCCGACTCATAATGTCACATTGCACCGGCTTGTCTTAAAACTCGTTTTGGACTACCTCAAAACGTGCCAATTTTGTCGTAAATGATCTTCTGAATATGCATATTGTTTTATAACTGGCAATAGAAGACCTGTGGTTCCCTCTTTTCATCACAAATGCACTTTTCTTCTGGAAAATGGGATAAAACTAGCCTAATTTTATGAGTAAAACTGAAAATTGACCCAAATTTTGTCTGTTGGCTCCAGAAATATTCTAGAAATATTGAAGTATATATGAAAAAAGTGCAGAATAGTTTGGGCGAAAAGTCTGGGGGTGAAATGATAAATAAATGTATTCCTTCAAATAAATTTTCATTTTGGAGGTGAGGGGCATATTGTTTTTTAATTTTATGTTACATGTTGTTATAGCACAACCTTGGATCAAAATTGTTAAAATAAAAATAATAAATATCTATTGTAAAGATTGTGTGTTTTCATCAAATCTCTTGTGGTCAAGGTATTCCTCTCACAGCTGTGTTGACTGCACCATAGCACAATGCAATGCCAAGGTTCTTGAGGGACAATTAGAGCTAACCCTCCTATTTTGTAATGGAATAATCTCATGGAAACTGCTGAGATCCCTTTGTGGTAGGTTGTTATTACCATGTAAGAAACACTATGCCAAAAACTGCCAATGAAACGCTGTTTAAAATGCTTTGTCAGTAAACAGCTTTTTTAATCGGAACATTCCATTGTTTTCTGAGGTGGTTATTTTTCACACAGGCAGGAAAATATTAAAATAAATTGGTACACCATGTTGAATAAGTCATTTGGATTCATTGTTTTTGTGTTGGGGTTAAACTATGATTATAATAGATGAGACAGGTATAATTTTTTTTCAAGTATTTTATTTTTAATTGGGGAGTAAGATCAGCCAATGTTCTGAAAATTAATTAGCATCTTTGTTTTTTTCTAAAACAAAAATTTGAAAAATGTTTATAATTGAGAACCGATATTAATGTATTCTAGATTTATGTCATTCACAATGCTAAAGCCCCTTGTATGTAAATGGTATGTTCCCTTACAAAAAAAAGAAAGCATGGTCGTGGTTGTAAATTACAACTAATATTACAAAATTAGAATATTTTCGTTTAATGAGAGAAAAAAGGCATCAGGAGGTAAGAGTCACTTCCATGAAGTGAACTAAATGTGTTGGTGATATTACCCTAATACAATTTTCTTGCCTGCTAATACAACATCTTTAATTTATTCTTGCCTGATAAGAGAGCCCCTCATTTAATTAATCCTACTCCCCCTTTTAGTTAAATGTACTCTCCTTATTTTTATTACATTGAATTTCCATTATCTATTTTGCCAGGACAGATTGTGGGGAGTTGTATTCATTCACCACGCTTCAGACATGAATATCAACTCAGTAAATCCTCTCGCTGCTCCTTGCCGCATACATTGACAACTGTTGTGTGTTTTCGCGTCGTCGTAGCAACCTCTTTCCCATCATCCTTTTTTCCTCCCTCCATTGGATCTAGTTGCTGCTCATCCCTTTTCCTGGAATATCACGTTAACAGAGAATATGGACCAACAAGATTTCCGTTAATTCCGCTGTTGGCTTCTCTTTCACACACAGCACACTTTCCCCGACTCCTGTCTGATTTTCATCGTGCCTGTTACTAAAGACTGACAGAGAGATTGTATCCACCATGCCCATGAGAAAGAGATCGACAGCCTGAATAATGTCATCTTCCATTGCGGAGCTTCTCACAGGTCAGTGGGGAAACTGGTTACTATATGTATTTCTAGCGATCGCTACATAACTCGTTAGCATTGGATCAATTAAACAAGTGTGTGGAGTAGTCATACCTAATTAGCCTTTTATTTTGAAACTGAATCTATATATTTAGATTGTTTAACAGCAATCAGGAAATCATGTATGCTTGCATGAGATGTTGCTAGGCAACCTACATGTAACTGTGAATTAACAGCAAATATTTTTAAGTTTACAGTTTGACACATACGTAATCTGTGAAATTAAAGAAAAATGTGGTCCAGTCTGTTTTCAGATTTATCATGGATTATGTGGAGAAATTTTCTCATTTATAAATGTATTCCAGTCCTACAAGAGTAATCTACCAGATATCACGATAAATAATCCGTCATCCTGGATTATTTACGACTGATTTATTACAGCAGGTTGTTCTTATTTATCATTGTTACCACCCCCCCTCCAATGCATCTACCTACTGAATTTTTTCCTGTTCTCAGCGTCACTGGCAAAATAAGAACGTCAACGTCAACGATACAGATCAACAATTACCACAACAAAGTAGGATTCAATGGCAAGCAAGAGTGACAGTACCATGGATGATATTTACGCTGGTCATGTTGCTGCGTTACCACAGCTACCATCACGCGTCGTCAAGGTATTCCTCAGTTGCCTTCAATCAGGTATGAAACTCTACCCACTGTGTTTAATTCTAGTTATTAAAAAAACTCTCTGTCATAATTTAGTCGTTTTCCTTTCAGCTGCCTACTTATGAAAGATGTTTTGACATGCCCCTATTACCATGGCAATGCTCATACTGTGATTGGTAATTTTCTAATAAAAAAACCTGTCATTTTATTCTTGTATTGCGGTAACAGATAACAATGATGAATGTTAAAACCATTTTTGTCTTGCCCATTGTAAATTTGGTGAATTTTCAGTTAAATCCAATAACCTGTTTGATCTTTTGTCTACTTTCTATGATATTTTCATATCTAACTGACTGATCTAATTTAATAATATTTTAATAATTTATCCATACAGTCAATGAGTTTATAAACCCAAAACTTTCATATATCCACAATATAACATTTGAAGAATTAGACACTAAACATTTCAGTCATTTTTAATTATTTCTGTTGATGTAGCAATTTAAACTGTCAATATGTCCCTTACATATGCTGCTCTCCAATATTTCATTTGATCTGCCCCTTACATATGCCTGTCTCCAATATTTCAATTGATCTGCCCCTTACATATGCCTGTTCACAATAATTCAATTGGTTATACCTTGCATGTGGCTCTCTCCAATAATTAATTTGGTCTATTCCTTAAATATGCCTCTGCCCAATAGTTCCCCTTACATATGCATTTGGTAGCCGATATAAGACCCCCTCTGGAGAAAATTAATAACAGAGTGTAATTTAGTGTAAGCAACAGTTATTAGGTGCCTCAATTATATGCATATATATCATTTATATCATGCTTGCACAAGAGATATGCTACATAATATCTGTTCATATCATGTTGCTATGTGCAGTTAAAAACGTAATATCCTATTAATTCTGAAATAATAATCTTCAGATTTTCAGTATCTTTTTATTGTATAATGATTTCCAAATGGAGTTTGGGTTTTATTTGTGTAAACTGACATCAACAACACTCAACAAGTATTCTTACTGGCACTAACAGCAACCATACACTATTTCTGCACATAAACAAAGTAACAAATAGAATGTTTTTACGGTAGTTGTGACCCTTTTGTATTTTATTTGATTTATGAAACACGATATGTGAGGTGACAGTGATGTACGAATCAAGTTTTTTCACCAAAATTTATTTAATTTAATGCACAACTTATAATATTTTTTTTTGTCAAAAATAATTCCTAATGTTTACCAGGTTTCCCTGCTTTGATCAGTTGACTACAGGATTATAGTGTCAGTTATAAGACCTTGCTTTAGCCTTTTCACAACCAGACATTCTTGCCCAAATTCTTCTGCACTTTTTTAGTCCCCGTTCGAACGCAGTCTGAAAACGGGGACGTATGTTTTGACCTCTGTGTGTGCGTGCGTGCGTCCGGACCTGTATCTTAGAAATGCCTGGACCAATCACAATCAAACTTCACACATACATCATACATGATATCATACATATGCATGTCAATTTGTTTCTTGATCTGATTCAAGATGACCTAATGGCGGCCATTTTTGTGCTAAAAATCATCAAAATCAAACATTTCCTGGCTGTTTACAGATGGATTTTGTTCAAACCTTGTATATACGTTGGACATTATAGGACCTTGATGCACATCATTTTGTTTTGCGATCTGATTCAAGATGGCCGAATGGTGGCCATTTTTGTGCTAAAAAATCCTAAAAATCAAGCATTTCTCGGCTGTTTACAGATGGATTTTGTTCAAACTTTATACATTTATTAGACATTACAGGTTTCTGATGCACATCATTTTATTTTTCAGATTGGATTCAAAATGGCTATCTGGCGGCCATTTTGTTTTAATGAATGGGTTTCCAGACCCATATGTCTGACTTGTTTTGACTGATTATGTTTAAATTTTTAATATTCATTATACATCATGTCACAGATATACGGATATATTGGTTTGACGATCCTTTTCAAAGTGGCCTAATGGTGGCTATTTTTGTGCTAAAAAAATCCTTGAATATCAAGCATTTCTTGCATTTATGGATGGATTTTGTTCAAACTCATAACATACATTGGACATTACAGTTTCCTAGTGCTCGTCATTTTATTTTTCAGATTGGATTCAAAATGGCTGACTGGCGGCCATTTTGTTTTAATGATTGGGCTTCTAGAACCATACATGTGTATCTCTTAAATGCTTTGACTGATTATATTCAAACTTTATATATTCGTTATACATCATGTTATATATATATATATATATATATATATACATGTATTCAAAATGGCTGATTTTGAATGCTGTTCCAGAGCAATATCTCTCAATATGGACAAGTACTTGTTTGACGATCAGATACAAATGTTAATCATTTAAAAAAATCATATTCCTGAAATGGTTATATTCCAGCTATATTACTATAAACAAAACTATTTATCTTAAATTTGATAACTAACGGGGACTGTGCCATGCATGGCTTGTTTCTTTTATTCTTCAATATTTATGGAAATGAACCCTAATATTGGAACCAACAGACAAAATTTGAGTTAATATTCAGTTTTTACTCGACAAATTTGGCTATTTTTGACCTAATGTTCTGAATGAAAGTGCAGACTATAAACGGATGGTTGGATTCATACTACGGTAACCGTGTTATAATACTGGTAATTGTCATGCTGTTCTTTATATCTGTCATTTTCAACTTCTCTGTTGGATGGCTTTTGTATTGACTAGCATGTATTTAAATGACTGTATCTGTGCAGTCAGTAGGTGTTCTGTTCTGTGAACTTTGAACTTAGTTTGCAAACACTTGCTTTATTTTTCCAATCTGTTAAGGACTTTGCTGTTTGTGACATTATTCCTTATTCTCAGTGGGATTAATTAAGATAGCTTAATCGCTATTTTGGCATTCTTACGAGTTACTATTAACATGTAACCATGGTAATATATATGTTTTCAGATAAGCTGAGAAGTAAGTAGAATACAATATTGTAATTATTTTTTGATGAGATTAAGTTACGGCAGTTTCTGTGCAACAAGATTTCTGACTGTTCATTCATTCTGTGTTTTTTTGTATTTTTCTGTTGTTTTACAAGATAGTACTTTTAGAAATCGAGTCTCGGACTTTGTATGTGTGTCGCATTTCTGGAGATAGTTGGTCAAATGTGCAAACTTGATTTCATTGATGTGGAAGGTCATTTTCTAGTTCATTGCAATGTGAATAGATGGTGCAAACTGGGTGTCATTAATGTGAATTAAGAGGGTGTTAAAAAATGATATATCCAATTACTTTGCAAAAAAACACAATGAAAGACTTTTGTTTTCCACCACAAAAAAATAGCTGATATATATTAAAATGTATTTTATCTGTTCTATAGGGACTGTAATTCTTTGCAAAAGGTTTCCCGGAATTTGTAGCTTTCATTTCGATGTTGGCCTTTTAATGCATTAGAAATTTGTCAGCGCTTGAGGCTTCTTCTTCTAAACCGCGTCTCGTATTGCAGATGCTCAATAAATAAGAAGGTCGATCACAGACATTTGACCTAACAAGTGGGGACGAACAATTTATCAAAATGTTTTATTTCAAAAGTTTCACATATTATTGATTAGATTTGTATTTTATCTTGTTCGAAATATTTTTTTAGGAAAATTTTAGAAATCTATATTAAAAATAATTAAAGAAATAATATTTATTAGAATTTCCCACCTTGTAGCTACATTTGGTTTTTCACCACATGTAACCAAACAGAATTTGGAGATATATTGTGAATTTGTTACCATGGAAACCAATGGTAAATGGATTAAAAGTCACTATTTTTATGGATGTTTGACCAGCTTTTTGTGTGAAAAGTAATTCAGTGATTAATTAATAGATTTTTAAAGCATAAGACCACATATGGAAATGTCAAAGAAATCTGATCAAATGTTTAATTGGTAGCCATCTGTTGAAATTCATTCTATTGATATATAGCAACAAAAGAACTGAAACAACTTTAAGAACACTGAGAATAGATGAAAAAATGAAATAAATGTACTTAAATTTTGTCCCTGAAGAGCTGTGACAATAAAGTGGGTTGTATTTCTAATCGTTTGTTTTTCGTTTTTGGTTTGCATAACGAATATATTATTGTTTTGTTTTTTACACATGTTGTATACGTACAGGTAGTATGGGACCCATTGAACATGACATTACTCAGTAGCTGTGGCACTTTGACTTGACTTGACATTCAGCAACACCATGTTTTAACAGTTTGTCTAGGGTTACTAGTTTTTCTCCACACAGTGATGTGATATTGTCGTTTTATACATGTACACATACACATCATAAAATGCTGGCAACATGTTAACCAAAAATGTAATTACTATTTAATTATAGTTTATAACAAATTAAAAATTCATCAATTAGGCTCCCTTCCCCAAGCTGTGGGTCCATAGCTCTTCTTGAGTTGGTCTTTAGTCTTTGTGATGGTATTTTAGTTACTTCTGATACATTTGGTGTCCTAAAAATTGTTATTTTTGAATAGTGAAATTTTATAGCTATGGTTCCTCCCATACACTTGATTAAACACAAACGTGCGTCGCAAGTAAAAGTCGAATAAAGTACACTTATTTCCTCACATCACACAATCGTAACTATCACCAATCGATAGTTTGTTTATTAAACACTCACAAGCCCAAAAACTGCAACAAACATCATCTGAAGTTTTTCTTGGGGATTCAGGTAGCTAAACCATACTTAACTTAACTCTAGGGACAACCATTTTCTTGAGATCGAACGAGGACAAAATTACTTGGCTAAATAATATCACTGTAGTAGAACTTCCCTCGGAAAGTAAAACTGCTAAAATACTAGTTAATGGTAGTCTTCTACTGTTAGTAGTTTGATATGGACCTCTTGGTATTTACCGTTGTTGTCTACAACCATGGAAAGACATTTATTTAATGTACATTTTTCTCAAAAGACAGTGGGCAATATACACATGCATCTTAAGCAGACATCATGTTCATGTTCACTTTACA